AGCTGTCAGAGTGACCAGGTGCCTTAATTCCAGAATATTTTATATATTTATCTGATAGTCAGCTGATTCCTTGATCAAAATACCAAATATGCCTCCAGGAAACTTTCAAAAAGTGGATTAACCCAGGTTTCCTATTTACTGCGGGGCCTGCGCATAAGCGAGAAGTTTTGCAATCTTGTCTTTTGAGCCTGGCAGCCCAGGATGTGCAGGAGTATTTAAGACACGTCAGAGAGATGCAGCTCCTTCCCTGGGACCTCCAGTTCTCACTGCGGTGCCGGTCACGCAGTGTCAGCCATTCTGCAGTTAGCTGTGAATTCATTAACCAAGACGAGGATGCACTGAGGTGATGGGAGTTAAGGGGTGATGTGGGAGGAATATCCGCGCTGGCAGGGGGATACATTAGCAGTGACCTTGGGTGGTCAGGCTCTGCCCTATAAGATTTTTCCTCACCTGGAAAGTGGGGGTTTAGACCAGAGTCTCTAGTTCCACAGGTTTCCCTGGTGGCTCAGTGGTAAAGAATCTGTCTGCCAATGCAGGAGGCTCGGGTTCAATCCCTGAGTTGGGAAGATCCCCTGAAGAGGGAAATGGCAACCCACTCCAGTATTCTTGCCTGGGAAATCCCATGGACAGAGGAGCCTGGTGGGTTACAGTCTATGGGATTGCAAAGCATCGGACATGACTGAGTAAACAACAGCAACCCTAGATCCACAATCACTGCCTCTAAGAAGCCACAGCCTAAAAGGACAAATGATGCTGGGAAAGATTGAAGGCAGGAGAAGAGGGGGATGACAGAGGATGGGATGGTTGGATGGCATCACCAACTCGATGGAGACATGAGTTTGAGCAAGCTCCGGCAGTTGGTGGTGGACAGGGAAGCCTGGTGTGTTGCAATCTATGGGGTCATAAAGAGTCGACACGACTGAGCAACTGAACTGAACTGAAAAGGACCAATACTATAAAGTGGTTTAAAGTCAAGACGGTTTATAGGTGGCTTGGGGGAGGAGGAGAAGAAAGAACCTTCCTTCCCTTCCTTCCCTCCCTCCCTTCTTCCCTCCTTCTTCCTTCCTTCCTTCCTTCCCTTCCTCCTTCCTCACTCCCTTTCTTCTGTCCTTTTTTCCTGGTCCCATGAAAAACACTGTGACTGAATGAGTCAGGAACCAGCCGAGATGACTGACCGGTGTCTCTTGAGAATCTTGGAGAGTGTGAGATCTGTGATGTTCTCTGAGCAGGAACATGCAGATACAAATAGACTCAGAGGTGCCGATGGGAGATAGGGGCGGTATGTATGAGAGCAGTGTTTGAAGACACGAATCCATGGAAAGCTCAATCAAATATGATATCCCCTTTTCAGCTCTGGAGAGCTCTATTGTGGGATTTTATTTATTGAAATCTTACCAGGTTCCTTAATCCTTCTCTACGTCCACAGGGATTTTTGAGCATACGTTGTACTCACGCATTGGCAGGCTCTGTTGTCAGAGTAAAAAGTCAGATGGCATTTTGGTTTAGAGGGAGAGAGGGAGGCCGAGGGAGAAAGAGAGGATAAAGTGTACTTGCTCTGTGTTGGCACCTGTCTGAAACAGCCATCCCCACATATTGGGGGTGACTGGCTTTGTTCCAGGTGGGGGCACCACACACCAGGCATCGGACACACCTCCTGGGTGGGCGTGAGTGTCCTGAATTTCCTTCCTCGCTTGTTGTCCTTCAGAGTTTGTGGAACCAGTCTGGCGGGCAGAGGAGACTGGGATGGAGGCGGGAAGAAGGAAGAAAATGTGCACGTGTGAGTCTGGGCTTTTGTTCAGGCTGAGGATGGTTGGACATGCGGGCAAGGAGGGGGTGGGGCATCTTTTCCTCCACTGATCTAAGTTCAGTGGATTTTCCTTCACGGATCTAAGCTCAGCCCATTCATATCTGCATTCAGAGCTGGAGAAAAGACTTGGGAAACATCCATCTTGATACTGTGTGAAACATATTTTTGGATTCAAGTATCAGATGTGGTTGTCTTGGTGGATTTAATGAACATAGATCTCTTGACTTCCCTTCAGGTTATGATTACAGTTGGTTTGGTTATTCTGAAAAGTTGTTTATAATGACCTAAATAGACCAATGGTGGCCAAATCTTCATCTTGGGTGGAAGAGACTTCTGTAAGGTGTTCTCCTGCATCCTGTCCAAGAGAAGGCTCAACTCTCACCAGGGCTGTTCTGTAAAGTGGTCTTCACTGGGGATTCTGCTTTCTTGGCAGCAGTGGCAGTGAGGGGACTGGCTTCCCCAGGGTGTGCACAAATGCATGCTCTGGGCCAGGCAACATACAACCTTGACAGGGCAGGGTGGAGAAAAAGGAGGAAGGACTTGCGTTAGAGAAGAGGGAGGAGGGCAACAAGAGTGTGTATGCGAGGCGGGAGAAACTTCTTATCGTGATACATCCTAAACAGATGGGACGATAGTGGGTTTTTCCAAACCTCCTTCAATGTGCTTCTTCCCAACTAGGCTATTTTGTGCTTTGATTTTTCTCGGGCAACCTAAGCACTCCACCCTCCTCCTACAATCCTGATTGGATTAGCATTTTCATCCGCTGAGCCTCTGGTTAAAAATGCTCATCCGCTACGAGGGGGGACACCCTCCAGTGCTTTGTTTAGATGGTGGTGGGATTCTGGGTGTTTCTCTCTCTTTCCTAACCCTTATGTACTGTTGGTATATTATTTTAAAATAGAAATTACTCTATTTCAAAAAAGCCCTTCAGTTTTCCCAAAGCTCATTAGGGCCAAATAGGCCTCCTTACCACCACACGATGGTTTAAAAACACCGTTTGGTGATTAAATTGTAAATGAAGCAAAAACACATGGATTAATTTTTCCCACCAGGGAAGTGATTGCAAATTTATTTTCTATTTTGTTGAAAAGAACATATTTGGAAAATTTGTTGTTATTCAGTCTCCAAGCTGTGTCCGACTCTTTGTAACCCCATGGACTGCAGCACGCCAGGCTTCCCTGTCTTCCACTATTTCCCAGAGTTTGCTCAAGTTCATGTCCACTGAGACAGTGATGCCATCCAACCATCTCATCTTCTGTCACGCTCTTCTCCTCCTGCCTTCAATCTTTCCCAGCATCAGGGTCTTTTCTAGTGAGTCAGCTCTTTTCAGCAGGTGGCCAAAGTATTGGAGCTTCAGCTTCAGCATCTGCCCTTCCAATGAATATTCAGGGTTGATTTCCTTTAGGATTGACTGGTTTGATCTCCTTGCAGTCCAAGGGACTCTCAAGAGTCTTCTCCAGCACCATAATTCGAAAGCATCAATTCTTCGGTGCTCAGCATTTTTTATGGTCCATCTCTTGTCTCTAATTTGGAAAATAAGTTTGTAAACAATACAAAGAGCTTCATTAAACTAATGTTGAAGGATCTGGGGATTGGAAAGGAATTCAGGTAAAACTTGGGTTCAGACTTGCCACATGTTTGTATTTGGACATTATAGTCCCCTGGCAAAGGAGTATAGGTGTGATAATTCATCAGACTTGAGCTTGTATGTCCAATGACAGGACCTCATTAGGTAGCATAGTCTTTGGGTTAAGACATCATATGAAAGACATCTAGACTATGGACCCACTGTGGTCCTGAACAGGTATCACTCATTCCTCACAGGCTCACTTTGCAAAACGATAATAAGCCCAACTCTTCCACTCAATCTGAATGTGCCTCCTGGGTGTGATTCTCCTGAGGGTTATTTAGTGTAATAAGCAGCTTACTGATCAGAATTAATAATCAAGATTAACAATGACAAATAACAACCATAAAATGTGTATTAGCTTCATGTTGGATGGGGGAGCTGGACTTGGTTGACTTCATTTAAACTGAAGTCTTGGTTTTTGCTGAGCTGTGCTGTCTCTCACTGGCAGTCCTGTGGGTGCCTGGGGGCCTGAGATGGGGAGACCAGTATTCTTTGCGCTCCATTCGTGCCATCCAGAGAGTGTGGTGGCTCCAGCCATGATGTGATTTTTGTTTGGTGCGTGATTGGTTTTGTTCTTTTTCCGGACGTGCCATCTAGAAAGGCTGCAGGCATCCCTGGGCCAGGGACTTGAGCCTGCAACTGGTCTGCCCACAGATCTCTCATGTGTGGTTCAGTGCATTCAGCCTACTGACAGGACTGATGCCAGGCACTGAGGGTGCTCACAGAGACAGCTTGACGGTGGAGTCATAGCAAATGCTGGGCTTCCCCGGTGGCTCAGTGGCAAAGAACCTGCCTGGCAATGCAGGAGACCTGGGTTCGATCCCTGGGTGCAGAAGATCCCCTGGAGAAGAAACTGGCAACCCACTCCAGTATTCTTACCTGGGAAATCTCATGGACAGAGGGGCCTGGAGGGCTATAGTCCATGGGGTTGCAAAGAGTCAGCATGACTGAATAACAGCACATATGCACAAATGCTGGACACGCATTTAGCACCATCTGAGCTCAGAGCGGGGCTTGGCGGCTGATACCACTAGGTGGTAAGAGCTTCACTCCCCAGAGAACTTGTGCTCCAGATCTCTGGCTTCCAGAGATCATGGGTCCCGGGAGGGAAAGATGACTCTGGCTCCAACCTGCTTTAAGGGGGAAAAAGAGAAGCCCTGCTTGGTCCTCCCATCAGCACCTAGCGCAGCACCTAACACAATCCGTTAGTCTCCAGCCGTGGTTGTTGGAGAAGGGAGCCAAAGCCAAGTGCAGTGGTTCACAAGCCATCAGGAAGACAAGGTCCCAGCATTGGAGGAGGAACTCTGGATGGACTTAGCCTTGGTAGTTCTAACCCTGGGGAAAACCGCAGGGTCCACAATCTAATGAAAGAGATGGATTCCGCTAGATATGGTCTCATCTGGGCTGATTTTGCCCCCGGGGGATATTTACATTCTTCAGAGACATTCTGGTTGTAACCAGTGGGGTGGTGATGCTGCAGATACTTGTAGATGAAGTCAAGGATGCTGCTGGTCTTCCCACAGTGCACAGTACAGCCTCCGCCAGAGAACCGTCTGGTCCAAAATGCCGATGGTGCTGAGGCTGAGGGACTCTGCTCCGGAAGGTGAGGACAGCGTCGATTGTTGACTTGAATTTTGTTCTGTGGTCACAGAGCCCTGAGTTAGATGATTTTAAGGCTCCTTCTTAGCTTTTGGCTTTTTTTTTCCCATAAAAAATGAAAACTGGGCAGAGAGTTGGAAAATTGGAAACCGGAAAGAAAGATGGGAATTCAGGATTGCTTGTTTTAAGAAAGAGAAAGCTGTATTGCGCCTTACTAGCCTTCAAGCACCCACTCCAGTGTTCTTGCCTGGAGAATCCCAGGGACAGGGGAGCCTAGTGGGCTGCCGTCTATGGGGTTGCACAGAGTCGGACACGACTGAAGTGACTTAGCAGCAGCAGCCTTCAAGCATGGAGTTGTTTTTTAACATGGAGTAGTAGGCTGAGAAATTATTCTCTTTTGGAGCCAATAAAAAAAGAAATGGGTTAAGCTGAGGAGGAAAGATTTGAGTTCAATCCAAAGAGGCATTTGTGTGTATGTAACAATAAGAAATTAGTCAAAGTTCCTGAAGAAATTTGTGAAATCATTGTTCATGGGAAAGCTTCAAAGAAGTGAAACAGTAGTCATGTGTCTGGATGATGGAAATGACCTTGAATCCAGAACATCGGTCCCTTTGAGTCCTGGCAGCCAGAAGCTCTCTTGTCTTATTTTTACATATTCCACCAGATAAACAATGTAACTATTGCTGTTTTTTAGCATTCCCTCTCTAGTTTTCATCTGCTCACCTCATGTGTGCCTGCTCGGTCCCTCAGTCATGGCCAACTCTTCGCTACCCCATGGACTGTAGCCCACCAGGCTCCTCTGTCCATGGAATTTCCCAGGCAAGAATACTGGAGTGGGTTGCTGTTTCCTCCTCCAGGGGATCTCCCTGACCCAGGGATTGAACTTGTGTCTCCTTTATATCTTGCATTGCCAGGTGGATTCTTTACCACTAGTGCCACCTGGGAAGCCCCTCACCCACTATCTATCTGCACATGTTAGTAAACATTTCAGTGGTTGCTGACCCTCCACCCATATCTTTCCTGCTCACCCCATTTCCATCTTCTGTCCCCGCAGGATTGCCGACTGTTGGTTGACAGCTTTCCAGGATACATTGAATACACTCTATGGTGATGACCCACCAGAGGTATCAACAAGGGCTACTCACCCTTCAGACCATTGTGATTGATGCCTCAGCTGGGGAAACTTTCCAAGTCACATTAGTGGTGAATTTTGCTGGCTTATTGGATTGCAGTGCTGTATCTAATTTGCTGACTAGTATCTTTATCCTTAGATCTTTCTTGATGTCCCTCCAGATCTCTCCTGCTGCCAGAATTCTGTGATTGAGATGATTATTTCCCTTTGAAAGTATTTTCTGGATGGATTTGATTTGTGTGGTCTCTGCCCTCTGTTCTTTACAGAGGAAGGAGGAAGTAATTTGATGTCACTTCTCTGCAAAGTTTTCACGAAAAAGCAAGGAAAACATAGGGTCTTTTTCCTCCCCACTCTCTCCTCCACCTTACATCTTCCACTTCCAGCCAAAGGTTTATTCCCAAGGGTTTATCCTGAGTGTGGTACCTGTGTGTCCCTTTGTGCACCAGTTAATTTCATTTAGAGAATTAGTCTGTTCTATCACTATGGGCTATATGTTTCCCCAGGCCAAGCATTTTGCAGTGTTTCTATTTGGAAAAACTTAGAGACCTCAGTTTTTTATGAGCTTGTCCCTTAGAGAATGTTTCTCTTGGAGAATTGTATCCCCTGGTGGGCTGTTTTTCTCTCATTTTTCTAGTTAAGAGTTTGGGCTGTGAAGGCAGTCTGAGTTGGGTCTTTTTTCTGAACATTCTTTTTATTTTTTTATTTTTTAGTGTGGATAATTTTTAAAGTCTTTATTGAGTTTGTTGCGATATTGCTTCTGTTTTATGTTTTAGTTTTTTGGCCCTGAGGCATGTGGGATCTTAGCGTCCCAGCCAAGGATTGAACCCGCATCCCGCGCATTGAATGGTGAAGTCTTGACCACTGGACCACCAGGGAAGTCCCTGAGTTGGATCTTATCTTCATTCTAACACTCATTGTCTGACCCTCAGTGAGTGACCCAACCTTTGTATGCGTCAGTTTTGTACTCGCCAATAAAGTGAGGTCAATGTTAATATTGACCATAGAGGGTTCTGATGAAGACCAAATGAGATCAAGTTGCCCAACACGGTGCCTCGCAAGAGTAGTCACCCAAAAAATGTCTGGGTGTCTAATAGTTTCCAAAATGCCTAGTAGTCTCCAAAAGAGGTCTGAAGGGAAGAGATACATGTTGGAAATTCAGAAGGCATGAAACCTCCAGAATCCCCAGACACTGAGGCAATGATGTCAACTTCACCCACCTCTCCATCCTAGCTAGCCCAGCCGTGACCTCACTTTTGATCTTTGATGGACGCCCAGCCGTGAGCCCTGGAGGAGGATGCCAGGGTGAGGGCCCTGGCCCCGGGAGAGGAGTGTCCTTCCTGTCCACGTGGCCTAGCTCTCCCTCCTGTGGTGTCAGCTTGATGGTCACCTCCTGCTGGGACCATAGCCAGTCTTCTGCAGGCTGTCTTTCTTCCCTCCAAGTCACAGTTGACTTTCAGGTCCACTTTGCTGAGCCCTGGTTTTAGATGTGGTCTGTGAGCCATCTCTTCTTCCCTTTTTAGACCAGGATTGATGTCTGGCCGCTCCTATTGGCTGGCCAAAAAATTCGTTCGGGTTTTTCTGTCACATCTCATGGAAAAACCCCAACGAACTTTTTGGCCAACCCAGAACTTTGGGAGAAAACATTTGCACAGCTATGCCTCCCCCAGGCTGGGAAATGGATCCTCCCACCCCTGCCTCTTGGATGCTGCCGTGGTTGAACTTTTGCCAGCCTGGGCGCGGTACCTAAGTGACATCAGCAGTTTCTTAGAACTCCTTGGGAGGTGAGCTGTGGCTCTAGCTCCTTCCTTCCTTCTCAAGTCCTTTTCTTGTCTTGATGATTTAGGGGGGTGAGACTTTTTGTACAGCCTATTGAAGGAAATGTCTAAGAATTGGGAACATTTACTATGCTTAAACTGGAGGAAATGGCAACCCACTCCAGTATTCTTGCCTGGAAAATCACATGGACAGTGGAGCCTGGTGGGCTACAGTCCCTGGGGTCACCAAGAGTCAGACACGACTGAAATGACATAGCACACACACGCACTGTGCTTTAGACATTTAGGCCAATGAGGTTAGCATTGCTCTGGAGCCAAATGTACTCTTGGGGTATCAAGAACCTGACCTTGAATAGACAGCGCCAAGCTCTTCTGTATCTAATGAAACTGAAAAAAAAAAAAAGCAATGTAGGAGATGCAAGTGATGTGGGTTTAATCCCTGGGTTGTGAAAGATCCCTTGGAGAAGGGCATAGCAACCCACTCCAGTATTCTTATTTGGAGAATTCCATGGACTGAGGAGCCTGGCAGGTTACATATAGTCCACGGAGTTGCAAAGAGTTGGACATGATTGAGCAACTGAGCTTGCACGCACGCATCCACAGTGAGCAACGAATGTGCAAGAGAGTTGAGCCCCGCTCAGTCTCTCGGCTCCTGCAGCTCACAGGCCACCAGGGAGCAAAGAAGAGCAGACCACACGGCTGAGAGTCAGCTGCTGTGTGTCCCCACGGGACCTGTGACTCCCGTGTCTCTGAAGTGTGTTCTGCCTAAGGTGATTTTGTGTTAGTTCTTAGGCCAGCAGAAAAACCCAGCTCCTTTTCCTTCTGTTCAACTCAGTTCCATTGAACTCCAGTCGGAAAAATCCTTCACCAGTTGTCAGTGACTGCGATGCCCATGGGACTAGATGGAAGGTGCGGTTTCTGACCTCAGGAAGCTCCAAGTAGCGGAGAGGCTACAATGAAGACGATCCTGTTGTTTCCGTGCGCCCTGTGCCTGGATATAGAGCAAAGAGGACACAGGAGAGCTGCCTGCCTGGGCCGGCGCGGGGCTGGGTGGGCAGAGGACCAGGGGCTTCTCAGAGGGGGAGAAAGCAAGAGGCAAGTGGGAGTTAGTCTGGTACACATCCCAGGAAGAGGAAAGAGCGCGGGGAGGCCAGAAGTGGGAGAGACCCCGGTGTGTTTGCAGAGCTGCTGCTGGTGGTTTTACCTGTGTGGGTAAAGTGTGGGCTTTGGGCAGAGGGACCAGACAGGGAGAGGAGGGGAGGGCAGGGGTGAGATGGGAGAGGCAGGCGCCCTGTGAATCGGGAAGGACCTCTTGGCTTTTACATCGCCAGGTGATGAGCGGTGTTTTGTGATTTTGCAAGAGTCCTGGCCATGGTGAGAAGGAGGGATCAGAAGCTGGGAGGAAACCCAGGACGATTGAGAAACTTCACCCTGAGGTGGTCAGAGCTGTTTGGTAAGAAGGGACACACACACACACAAACACACACACATACACACACTTTGCTGTGTCAGACAGACGGATGATGGACCAGGGCACCAAGCCAAGCTCTCTCCATACCCGTAGTTGGGAGCTGGCTGTTTCTAGACTCGTCCTCTAGGCTGGATCCTTGGAAGAGTTAATAGAACCAAAAAAAAAAAAAAAGGAAGAGAGCCGCCGGTATGGGATGTGTGGAAAGATTTTGGGAGAGAAACAGCCCGGAAATCTCAGGCAGTGAGCAGAGGAAGGAAAAACATGCAGAATAACGATGGATTGTAGCAGAAATGTGAGCCCTTGTCAGAGATGATGCGTTTGACTCTTCGGGAGGGACTGAGCAGAGGAGAGCAAGGCAGCTGCCTGCAGACAAGAAAAGGGGCAGGGGAATTGCCACAGTCCGTGTGTGAATCATTGCAGTGTGTGCGTGGAGGTGACACAGAGTCTAACCAGTGAAGAGAGTGGACCTTGACGTGTCAGTCACCCGTCATCAGTGGTGATGCAGGCAGAAGCTTGGCCACATTACAGGAGGCTAGGATGTAGCATCTTTGATGGTGTTGTCCTGTGCTGCAAAGGTGTTGGAATTTATGATTGAGGGCTGACATTTATTAAGCTTGGAGAGTATG